TTATGTGTTGTTTGCTTCGTAATTGTGAAGTGTGTGTTTCTTCTTCTTAAGAAAAAAAGCAGAGGACTAGGTCGGTTCTGTAGGTTAAATGCGTAATTTCGCAGCGTGTCCGAGGGCATTTTCGTCAAGAGATTTACTTTGACTGACGTGGATTTTACGGCGAAGATTAAGGCCCCAGTAACAACCAATGGGAAAGGGCTTTGATTATTGGATTTTTGCAAACAGTAAGATTACCTTGAATTTTGATTGGCTTTCCTTTTATATTCCCTGCTCACCAAAAATATTTAAAAACTAATAGTAATATATTGAAATAAATTGTTTCTGGATGAAATGAAACTAGGTGATGAAAGTTATGTGTACGGATCTTTTCTTTGTTTCTAAAACTCTTTTTTTTTTCTCCATTATTTCAGCTTTGTATTATAGACACAACATTACAACAAAGCAAGTGGTAAGAGACGTGACACAGTAAGAGAGGAGGACACTGAAACTTAAACCTTAAAATTAACACAAAGTAAGAAAAAACTACTTTACTATCTATCTGATTCTGCTAAAAGAGGCTCCGTGATTTTTGTATTGTAATTCTTGGAACCTCGTGCTTCTTTCCCCACAAGCTTCTTCACTGTTAGTCCTACCTTGCTCTGATACTCCTGTGACACAAAAAAAAGCCATGAAAATCTCCCAAAAAATAACCAAAATTTTGAGTCAATGGATATCGAGGATTTGATCGGTTTCTTGCTTACCACAGGTGAAGCACGAGTTATGGATGATACAGCAGCTGCTGCTGCTGCAGCTACGCGTACTCTGAAATGATGCCAAAATATGATTCAGTTTTTGCTTTCTTTTAGTGTATCTTTGGTAAGAAAATGGCGAAGTGACTACCTTTTATGTACATCAATGTAAACGTCGGTTTCATCCACGATTTCTGCCTGCATTTCGGGTAGATCACCAAATGAAAACTTCTCAAGTACAATGTATATAGGAACATAAGCATATAAAGTAGAGATTTTTCAAGTCATGGATCATCAAACCAGATAAAGAAGACAAAAAGCAAAAGATCATACTTGTAAAAGTTCTTCAAAGACATCTTCTAACGTGATAATGCCAATCACTTCTGCGTCCTCGTTATCTTCCAACAAACGCGGCAAGCCTCTTGTCGCAATACCGTTCTGTTGGAAATTTCTTCCCCTACTTTTCACAAGTGTTGGTACTTTATCAATATCAACAACAACATCATGCGGTTCATCAACATGCTTCAGCAAAGGAGCCGTTAAAAAAGGACTTGAGAAAAAGTTCATATTTTCTTTAGGTGTTTCGCCAGTACTTAGCAACTGTGTATTATGCGTTTTATCTTTGTCTTTAACTTTGACAACCGCAGCCATGTGACTGCTTCCCTTTTGAAATTCGTTGAGGATATCGTACAATGGCATGTTTGATGGAACCCTGGAAAGGCAATGTATGGGAACTTATTCTTATTTTCATGTTAAAACACATATTATGTATAGGTAAAGCTAAAGGGAGCAAGATATACCTTGGGATTTTTCTGATGGAAACAGAACTTACAGGTGTCTCTGTCTCCGCTCGTACTGTTAGAAGACTCTTAACCTAGATAATAGCAGCAGATATGTAATCTTAACAGGATTCAGTGAAATGAAACAATGCAAAAGTTTGACAGGAGTACCAATAGAAGCCCAATGATATTTTTTGCATTCCCTAAATAGACAGGGATTCGGCTATGACCTCGAGAAAGTATTTTTCCAATTGTATCCCTGCATTTAGAAGGTGAATCATGATTTCAACTAGATTTTTACAGTATGAATTAAAACTGATCACTGATCAGCCCAATGGAGATTCTCAAATCTGTTTTTCCTTTGAAAGATAGAGAAAGCAAATCATCGAAAAAGACCAGTTCTAACCTTAACTCACCAGTCTAACTTTGTATTTACGTCCAAAGAAAATGTTGATTCAATTGGCGTCATAGCCTCCTCGGCAGTCTGAAATTCCAGGAAATGAAAGTGTATGAATTATAGATCAGTGGAAGTAATCTTGAAGCAGTAAAAAGTTAATGTATGTTCCAAATTGGAAGACAAAAGAATCAAAGTATATGCATCAGTTCAACATTAGCTAAGTCAACATACATAAGCAACCGCATGCAACAAACGTTCATAGAGTCTAGAGATGAAGAATCAAAACCAGTATGTCCTCTGGAAGTTTTATTCAGAGTAGTATATATGCATGAGTAATTCAAATCCTTACCTTCTCACTCAAATCCAGGGCTCCGCTTATAATCATTGTTTCCTCGTGTGTCAGTTCACCTCCCTTACCAGCCTATGTTGGAGAGAAACAACATGTCAATGGAAGCTGGAAGAAAATAATACTTTTAATAATCAAGCAACTTAATTAATTACTTCACAAATCAGAACAGGGGCTACAGCATAATATCTGTCTTTTTTCATGTTCTCGATTCGTCTGATTAGATCATAAAAGAGAGCCTACCTCCTGGCTGTGAATTGAGACAAGGGCTTTCAACTGAGCTCGCCTAAATAGTGTGTCATTATGCCCAATTACGGCATCAAGAACCTGAGGCATGTAAAACGTTGATAGAAGTAAACACCCCCATCTATATAATACTCTAACATCTATAAATGCATCCACTTGTCTAGGTGATATAATCAATGCAGTTAGCTTCAACAAGTAAACACTTCATAATGACATTGCTAGATTAAATGAAAGTTCACCAAATTTCCCATCCTTCCATACTTGCACAATAATCTATTTTAGCAACTTGTCAAACAAAACCGACCACGTCTACTACGGTTTAATGACATTTAGTGCTATGAGGAAGATAGCAACATCACCTTCCCAATAGGGTAAGCAATCGGATAGCAGATAACCATCAAAATCCGAACCAGCCACAAAAAATTTGCGCCGACAGCAAGTCCATATCTCGAGCATATAGCTTGCGGAATGATCTGAATGGAATCGAACAACAATATTGGCATCATTTAATAGATGGAAAAGTGCTGAATAGAAAAACACAAAACTAACACCGAGAAGACATATAAAGAAAGTTACCTCCCCAAAAGCAAGAACAAAAGTAACTGAGAGCAAAACAGCCACAAATGGGTGAAATATCTTGTCCAGGCATATAGGAAGGGCCTGAAAAGGAAAATCAATAGCATCAAGAAGCACAAAATTCACTGATTCTAAAGTGCAATTTCAGGTTGTAAATCAGAACAATGAGGAGGTAACAAATATATTTAACCTCCATGGCAGCTGCATTGCATAGAAGCAAAGTCACAAGAAGTTGATGCTGCTTCTTAACCACTGGTAAGATAGCAGCTGCAATATCCAAAAGGCAAGAGTGAGAATAGAGAGTTATAGCCAAAATCATAGAATAAGAAATAAAAAAAAAACCCAATTCTATAGTATGTAAAATCCCAATTCTAACCACCGATTTTTGCAGCGATCAAATTCCTTAAATATCGAGAACATAGCGAACGAAATTCGAATCTAGTTCTATTATGAAGAACCGAAGAGAGTTAGTAGCTAGACGCAAAGAGACGACAACGTTACCGGACTGTTTTTTCTCGGCGGAGGAGCCACTCTGTTGGAGGATCTCTAGCTCGACAAGGCCAAGGGACATAAGACCAAGCGTGAGTCCCGACATTATTCCGGCGAATAACACGAGGAGACACGCTACACCGACGACGACATACCACCACGGCGAACCGAATCGGATGTCTTCCGCCTGGAAGACGAAACTGTTCAGCGCATAAGCCGCTCTCAACATCTCCACCGTCCTCAGAAAAACCATTGTCTCCGTCTTTTTCTCAGCTTCGATTTGGTCGCTCGTAGGCTCGTAGCTATAGAGAGAGAGAAAGAGACTGGTGTGTGTGTTGTTGTGATGTGAAATTGTTATTTTGTTTACAAGGAAGAAGACGACAATGAATTGGCTTTGAGACGGGGATACATGGACCTCTTGACACGTCAGCATTCAACATGCGGTTTTCCTTCTTTTTCTCTCTTTTTCCTTTTTTCCGTTGTTTTTTATTATTTTACTCATGCGTTTTTTTTTCACTTTAATTGATTTGTTGACTAATAAAATTAAAAAAAATACTAATACACAAAATATATAGTTTTCACCTTTTTGTGAAAACGTGATAACTATTAATCACTGACCTATCATATAAATAAAAGTTTTATATGGACTTTTGGGATCAACTATGAGCCCAATATTTGGGCCATTAATGGGAAAGAAAAGAGTTCGCGGAAAAAAGTTTTTTTCTTTTTTTCTACAGTGAGAAATTGGAACGAGCGAGATGCAACAGAATCTGAAGATCGAAGAACAGTGAAATCGAAGAATTGAAGCACAAGTCTCTCTATCGATTTCCGCAATCTGTATCGCATGATTCTTTTTCCTATTCATCGGAGTGAGAGGCGACGCGTCTGAAGCATTTTCTCCAGAAATCGGTGAAGTGGCGAGACAAAGAAGGATTCGTTTTGGGAGGGAAGAACAAATCTGGCGAAAGTGGAGGGCTTAAGGGCGAGGCCATGGCTGAAGCCAGAAGGTTATGTAAACGGAGGTCAATATGATTACGACGGCGATGAGGACGACCATTCGAGGCCTTGGTGGAGGCGTCGCCTCAGATCCTTCTATATGGCGGCGATGTCATTTTCTCCGTCCACTTTCCGAGTCGTAATCTCGTTGCTCCTCCTTGTGGGTATTGTCACCGCCTTCATTTTTCTCCCTGTCGAACAGGTAATTTTATCTCTCTATCTACTGGCTTTCTTGATTCGCAATGCGCAGTGTATTTGTAGCTTTAGTGATAATGTAGCAAGGATAATGTGTCTGTGTATCTTCTATATTTAGAAATGAATAGAGTATCTCTGGAGCTCGATAGATCACTATGTCTTTATTTGGAAATAGTGTTGCTCGGTTGCTAGATTGTTTACACATTTTGTGAAGATCTGTAGTTTGAAGGAAGCGAGAAGTTTGATATGCTATGAAGTTCATCGATAACATTCTTAGACTTGGTGGTTGTGCAGTAGTCTTAGATCAGGCGAATGATAGTGTATATATATATATGTGATTTAGAATCACTGTTTTGCTCCCTCTCTGCAGAAATTGAAGGACTTCTTGTTATGGATTAAGGAAGATCTTGGACCTTTTGGTCCACTTGCATTGTAAGTTCATGG